ACCCAAGGCAATATGCTCAATTAATATTAGACAAAGGTGGCAAGAGCATACAGTGGAGTAAAGACAGCCTCTCTAATAAATGGTATTGGGAAAATTGAACAGCTACATGCAAGAAAATGAAACTAGACCATCAACTTACACCATACACAAGAAAAAACTCAAAATGGATAAAAGACTTAAATGTGACTCATGAATCCATAAAAATCCTAGAAGAAAATTTAGGCAACAAAATTTCAGACATCATACGCAGCAGAAATCAAATCACCTAAGGCAACAGAATGAAAGAGAACATGAACACATGGGACTACATCAAATTAAAAAGCTTCTGCACAGCAAAAAATACAATCATCAAAATGGAAAGGCAACCCACTGTATGGGAGAACATCATTGCCAATGATATATCAGATAAGGGGTTAATTTCCAAAATATATAGAGTACTCATACAACTCAACAAAAGGAAGACAAAGAACTCAATTGAAAAATTAGCCGAGGAACTAAATAGACACCTCTCCAAACAGGACATGCAAATGGCTAAGAGACATATGAAAACATGCTCAACATCACTAATCATGAGAGAGATGTAAATTAAAACAACAATGAGGTATCACCTCACACCTGTCAGAATGGCCGCCATCAACAAATCATCAAACAACAAGTGTTGGCGAGGGTGTGGGGAAAAGGGGGCTCTAGTACACTGCTGGTGGGAATGCAGACTGGTGCAGCCACTATGGAAAACAATATGGTGTTACCTCAAAAAATTAAAAATTGAACTGCCACTTGACCCAGTGATCCCACTTCTAGGAATATACCCTAAGAAGCCTGAAACACCAATCAGAAAGAATATATGTATCCCCCATGTTCATAGCAGCACTATTTACAATAGCTAAGATCTGGAAACAGCCCAAATGTCTATCAGTAGAAGAATGGATAAAAAAGCTGTGGTACATGCCCTGGCCGGTTTGGCTCAGTGGTTAGAGTGTCGGTCTGAGGTCCAGAGAGACCCAGGTTTGGTTTCCACTAAGGGCACATACTTCGGTTGCTGTTTGTCCCCGGCACTGGTTGGGTCGTGTGGGTGGCAACCACTCGATGTGTCCCTTTCACATTGATGTTTCTCTCTTTCTCTCTTTTTCTTTCTCTCCCTCCCACTCTAGCTGAACAAAAAAATGGAAAAATGTCCTTGGGTGAGGATGAAAAAAATAAAATAAAACAAACAAAAAAGCTGTGGTACATATACACAATGAGGTACTATGCAGCTATAAGAAAGAAAGATCTCATCCTGGCAGGTTTGGCTCAGCAGCTAGAGCATCAGCCTGCAGTCCAGAGAGACCCGGGTTCGGTTCCTGCTAAGGGCACATATCTTGGTTGCAGTTTGTCCCCGGCCCCAGTTGGGTTGTGCGGGTGGCAGCCACTTGATATGTCCCTTTCATGTCGATGTTTCTCTCTCCCTCCTACTCTATCTGAACAAAAAATCAAAAAATGTCCTCGGGTAGATAAAAAAATTAATTAAAAAAAAAAAAAAGAAAGATCTCTTATCCTTTGAGACGACATTGAGGGACCTAGAAAGTATTATTCTAAGCAAAACAAGCCAAACAGAGACAAGTATCTTATGATCTCACTTATTTGTGGAATATAATGAACATAACAGTCTGAGTAATGGGGTAGTCTCAGAGATGTGGAAGTGGGGTACAGACTGACAATCCCCAGAAGAGGGGGTAGTGGGGGAGAGATAAACCACAGAACTTATATGTATGATGCATGAACAATGGACATGGACAACAAAGCTGGAGACAGGGCGGGGAGGGAGAGAGAGGGGGTAATCAGTGGGGCGGGGAGGAGAAACATCTGTAACAAAAATAAATAAATTAATTAAAAAAATAAAAAATAAAAAATTTAAAATAAATAAATTTAAAATAAATAAATTATGTCAACTACTAGAAAGGAAGGATAACGGTGTAACGTGAAAGAGGTGCTGATTATTCTACAATGACAATCATCACAATATAAAAATGTATCAAATAAATATGTACACCTTAAATTTACAATGTTATGTCAAATATAGTTAAATTAAAAATTAAGTAAAGTTTCACCATGATAAAAAAGAGGACACAAAAGAAATATAGTGACGTTGGATGCCAGTTTTCACCAATCAAATTGGCAAAGATAACAGTGTTTGTGAGGGTGTGCCATCTACTCTGAGCATGTGCTACAAGGGTGGTGGAAGTGTAAACAGGCATAGACCCTTTGCGGAACAACTGGCTTCTACCGATGAAGATTTTAAAAAAACATTAACTGATTAATTCTACTTCTAGGAATTAACCTGCAGATACAATTACATGAGTGCTCAAAGGTGTATGTACAAGGATGTTCACTGCAGCACTGTTTGCATCAGTTAAAAATCAAAGGGGAGTGGTAAGGACTAATTCAAATGTCAATTGGCCCTGGCCACTTTGCTCAGTGGTTAGAGCATCGGCCCTTGGACCTAAGGATCATGGGTTCGATTCTCCGTAAGGACACATACCTGGGTTGCAGGTTTAATCTCCAACCAAGGTCGGGGCTGTGCAGGAGGCAACCAGTCAATGTGTATGTCTCACATCAATGTTTCTCTATCTCTCTCCCCAACTCCTCCTCCACTGTCTAAAAATTAATAAGAAAAGTATCCTTGGGTAAGGATTAAAATACACACACACACACAAACACAAATAAATAAATACACACACACACATAAATACACACACACACACGTCAATTGACAGAGAACTAAAGAAATCCATACAATGGATTAGTATGCAGCTATGAGGGTGCAGTGTCCTCTATGTACTCTTATGGAACAATTTCAAAATTTAATGTTATATGGAAAAGAAAAGTAAGCTGTAGAACAAAAGGTATAGCATGGTCTAATCTGTTGATGAGTCTAGATAATTGTATATACATAGACTATTTCTGGCAGGCTAGACAAGAAATTTGTAATTGTGATCATCTCTTAGGAGAACTCAGACTAGCAGTCTAGGGGTCTAAGTTGGTAGAGAAATTTCCTGTTCATTGTACATCTTCCTAAATTACCCAAATATTTTGCCATGTGTATGTAACACTCCTTTGATACTAAAAAATAAATAAAACTAGTTTAAAGGTTTAAAAAATATATTTTGCAGTACATTTACATATAACAGATAAATCATTTTTTCATATTTGGCTTTTAAAATAGTGTTCTCTCACATACTGAATGATTCCATTTATATAAAACTCTAGGAAATAGTCTGTGAAAGAAAGCAGATCTGTGGATGCCTAAGGATCGGGGTGGGGGTGCTGGGCAGGGAGGGGTGGGAGAGAGAGGCACAAGGACACTTTTGGAGGGACAGATATGTTCATTATTTTTGTGTAGATTGACATCAAAACATCAAATTGTACACTTTCAATGTGTGCAGTTTCTATCAACCATACCCCATTAAAGGTATTATTTTAAAAACACCATTATTCTCCATCTCTGAAACAATGATGTGTCTCCATTGTTAATTACATGGTGCCCTGGTTCCTCAGCAAAATCTCTCAGCTCGTCCTTGAAATGCTAAGTTTATATTTTATTTTGTTCAGAACTGAATTTTTTAAATGTCATATAGTTTTCTGAAACTAGTGTATTAAAAGTAGCTAAACCTAGAAAGATATTATTTATGGCTAGATGGAAATCCTAGATATCACACAGCTGCGTCCATTTCATTAAGAACGCTTGCCTGAATATTTTCTTTTTTTTCTGTTCTGTATAACACTATTTTCTTTCATTCATTGTGTGTGTAGCTGGGATAGGAAGCTTTCAATGCATTAGAAACACAGAATATTTTATTGTCAAAGAAAGGTCCTATGCTCCCTTAGGAACAGTTGTAAGAGCTCCTGATCCTGACCAAAATGCTCAGAGGTCTGCAATAAGAGTTATATGCCCTTCAGAAACTTCAAAAGTATTTAATTTCATCGGGAAAGTGTTCAGCTAACTGTTAAACATTGGGTAAGCTTTCAAAGTCCAATGATGTATATATTCATATTTTCTTTCTCTTTGTGGAAATCAGAAATTGCCCTATGCTCATAATTTGTCCCAAGTAATGAAACAAATGTGTGTTTAAAATACTTCAATGATTTTTCCCCACTACCACCTTATTTTCTTTTGACGCTTGATAAGCAAAAGGTAACTGTGATCACCTCAGTGTAGTGAGATATTAAGTGACCTTTATTTTCCTTTTAGTTCTTTTTACATATTTTTGACAATGAAAATGTGTTAATTTGCAATAATGATGTTATTAAGAACAAATAATATAAATCTTTATGTCCAAATGGATACATGCTTTTTTGTAATACTGCTCATTTATTTTACTTTTAATGACAGGATAGAGCTTGTTTAGAAAGAAGATCTTAGGTAAAGGAATGTCATGCCCTCTGAGTTTTGTACTTTATAATTTTATAAAGATTTGACTTTTTAAAAAATACAAGACTTACCTGTTATATAAAATGCTGCCTAACCCCAACATCCAGGCTCAATCCATGGCCCTCCCTGCTCACCCTCAACCCTCAGTCCACTGATTCATAATTTGTAGCTCCAATTATCTTGACTTTCCACCACCATACTTCAAATACTTGCTATCTAGAATACGTGGCCCCTGACAATCAATGCTTTTCCTCCACCTTCAGCCCAGCTCACTCCTGCTAGGTCTCATCAGCCTGTGTCCTGCAGTTACTATATCCAGGGAAAGATGAAAAGGGGCAGAGCCACAGGCCAGTACAACCAGTGACGTGCCCAAGCCTCGGGAAGAGAGAGGAGACAGGCTTTGATGTAGGAGAAAGGATAGGAGTTGGCAAGAAAAATTCCCAGATGAGACCAGCTTGTCATAGTTTACAGTTCCCTGAAATATGAGGAGGGATTGGCCTGTGGTCCTTTCGGTTGGCTTCTCCATAAGAACAGAATCAAGTAAGCCCATATGTAATAAGATCAGAAGATATATTTACCTCATAACTCTTACCTCGAGGGAAACATGCAGTCATTTTCTCGGTATAATCTGTTCTTAATGATCTGATAGTGAGTTCCTAGCTTCCGATTGACTACCTCCGCCATCATCTTCCTTGAAATACCTCCTCGGAAAGGCGTCAGATCCTCTCCTATAACACTGTGAAAGAACAGGAATCATCAAGAAAAGCAAGCCAAGAGAGTGGCACCATTTCACCTACTTCCTTGGGTTTAGGTTTAGTATTAAAGAACACAGTAAGCTGAGGGAAAGAATAGAGGGCAAGAATGAATACCCTTCCCCCCAGGAGTACCTTAGGGAATCTAAAACATCATCAACATCAAAGCCACCAAAAGGAAAAAGCAAGTCAATTTCTCTTCCTCCTCCATCTATCTGGATTGCCCCTCTCTTGCCTGATGCACATTTCCTCTTCCCTACTCATGCCTCACCCCTGTCCTCCCAGTCACTACAATCCCACTGACCTCCCCTTCTCTGAACCCCACAGAAAATATGGTTTATGCCTTGCAGTCTGACACTGTGCTGGTCTGTCTGGCCCCTACGCATCCCATAGGCTAGCACCCTAACAGCAATAACAACAAAAAACAAAACAAAACACACTATTTTGTATCAACTTTATAAAGTTCAGTACATAGTAAGTTTTTAAAAAGTATCATAAACATCAGGTGAATTTTTTGAGGAGCTGTGGAATTATATAATGAGAAGCTAAAGGACCCTGATATTTAACTGGTGCAGAATTTAAGACCCAGAAAAGTTAAATGGCTTGTCACGGGGATAATCAGTGGGAGATCTGGGACTAGAAGTGATTATTGCTTTTGAAGTAATCTTTCTTCCACACTCCAGCCCTTATTTGCATATTTAAAAATAACCAACAGTAAAGGTATATAATTAGATTCATTTATAAATATGTTCATGCCTTCAATATTTATTGAATATTTGCTGAGAGCCAGCACCAGAGATACAAGAGTGAGTAAGACATAGACCTTGAGCTCAGAAGCTTTCAGTGCAGTGGGGAAAATAAAGTACATGTGCTGACTCCTACAAGGAGTTAGTGAAAGGCTGAGACCATCTGGGCCTCCCTATCCCAGGGCATTTGTATTCCCTAGAAATAGGAAACCCCCTCAGGAACCCTGTCAATACGCTTGGCACCTGGCTGGTATGCCTTAGTGGTTGAGCATCGAGCCATGTACCAAGAGGTCATGGGTTCGATTGTCAGTTAGGACACATGTCCAGGTTGTGGGCCAAATCCCCAGGGGGGGCATGCAGGAAGTGGCCAATCGATGTTCTCTCATAGATGTTTCTATCTCTCTCTCTTCCTTCCACCCTCTCTAAGAACAATAAAGAAAAAAAAATATGCTTGGCGTCCAGCCGGTGTTGCTCAGTAGATTGAGCGTGTCCCATGACCCAAGAGGACAGGGCACATGTCGGAGTTGGTCAATCCTCAGTAGGGGGAGTGCAGGAGGCAGACAATGGATGATGTTTCTCTCTCATCAATGTTTCTATCTCTCTCTCTCTCAAAATCAATAAAAACATATTAAATATAAATGCTTGGCTCTCTGATCACTGCAACCAAGGTCTCTTGGAGATCTTAGGGGACTTCCTTTCCTCTCAAAGACAAATCAAAGAACTCACCCATGGTAGCAGCTGCAGTTTTGACTTGAACATGGTTCATAATTTTCCAAAGACCTGTTAATTTGGTCAATAAATACTTTCCATTTTGAACCTTCAAAAAGCGAAGTAAATAAAGGTTAAAAAATATCCCAGAGCATTATTTACCAGTAGCAGACAGACAGAACCAATAGAAGGCCGAACGTTTGAGACACCCCCTTCCACTCCCACTGGTGGAAACAAAACTCCAGGAAGGATTCATTCTGTAACTCTCCAGCACTCAAGTCAAGTCTGCTCCTGTATTGGGTCTTCAGGTTTCCAAGAAACTGTAAATTTTCCAAGCTTAATGCCTGACACTCAGAAGGCTACGGATAATACTGGATAGGTGAGTTACACCTATTCTCACCTTTTACTAATCAAACCGAGTCCTATAAAGAGGATCCATGAAAAGTCACAAACATTAACCCTCGCTTCATCTCTGGCAATGGTCTAAAAAAACACACTCTCACAGAGAGAGGACACCCCCCCCCCCCGGCGCACACACGATTTATCCCCCAGTATTTAGGGGGGTGCAGAGTTGCCAAGCGCGGGCCAGGACCGTTATGGGTGAACAGGGGAATTCCCACTCCTCCCCACTATTCTGGCGTATGGGTTACTCTCCAGGGTCCTGGGCAGGAGAAGCAGCGCCAGGCACCCAGACACTCACTCTCCGCTCCGAGGCGCCCCCAGACCCCCGCCGCCCCCGCGCCCTCTGCCCAGCTCCGGGTTCGGCGGGCCACCGGGGAGCGAGGGCGGGAAAGCGCCTCTGGACAGAGCCAGACCCCGAGCTCCGCCCCGCCCCGCCCCGAGCCCACCTGACTCCTGGAGGCCGGGCCCGGGTGACAGGAGTAGCAGTAGCAGCCACAGCCCAAGCTGGGGCCCCCGCCGCTCCATCGCCAGCGGAGCCACTGCGGACACCCCGCTGCGGCACCGCGGGCGGAAGCGCAGCCCCGCACAAATATGGCCGTGGGAGCCGCACCACGTGTGCCCGGGGCCGCCCCACACCGGGATGGCGGGTCGCGTCTGCCGCCCCCGCCCCCAAGCCTCAGCCTGCGGCGAAGTTTCCCTGGGAGTGCTCCCCTGGAAGCCAGGGCTCTGCTCGCTCGGTGGGCGTGCTGTTCTGCAGGGCCGGGGTAGTCCTGCTCGTCGTTTGTTTTAGAGCCAAGCTGCACGGTTAGCTATTGGAAGGGAACGAAAGTTTTGCCTTTAGGGATATTGATTTTAAGCAATTAAGAAACAAAAGGCTCGGAAAGAACCTTTGCCCCTCCCTCTTCCTTCTTAAGAGCTTCTGATAGAGAGAAAGGCCTACTCTAGGAAGGGGCCTTAGCCTAAATTGAGTTAAGGATGGTAAATGCAGGGCTTAAGGCAGGGGCCTATTAGCTAGATAGATGCTTACTGTGTTCCAGTGTTTCTAAATTACTTTGTAAGAATTTGCCTTCCACGTGTAAATAGCCCATTCTCACTTGTGAAATCTAAATCCTCCATTCCCCCTCCTCCCTTTTCTCCTTTGTTCAAAATGTAACATATCAAACATTGCCTCACTGTCTTTGGAATTTTCTTACCACTGTGAATTCCCCTGCACGTATTTTAAAATTTGATTTTCTTCTGTTAATCTTTCTCTGTTAATTTAGGCCAGCTAGAAAAACTTAGAAGGTGGGAGGAGGGGAAAAATATGTTTTAGCCCCCACACCATAGTGTACAGCACTACAGCACTGTTAGACCCCCAAGGGCTTGCAAATAGCATAGCATAGGTCTCCTCATAATAAGAATTTATAACAATTGGGATGATTAGACATGGAAAAATATCAGTGGGCAACATTATACTGGACAGTATAGGTATTTAGGTATATATAGTGATCATAAAATTACAAGTTTTTATCCATATCTAAAATGTGCATAGTGATATCTCAGGCTCTGTGGAAATACATGGAAGAACAAGATGAGATCTGTGCCCTTGAGGAATTTAGAACTAATGGGAAGACAAATAGGCTTTCCAGAGATAATTTACAACTTAAGGCAATATGTAAAATTCCTGGTTTCAGTGGAGGGAAAGATCAGCATGAACTGACATCTGGAGAAAGGGGTAAAAAGGGTGTTTATCAGACTGAAATAAAAGGAAATGTTGCAGTTAAGGAATTAAGGGGAAGCCATAATTTGCAGAAGGTAGGGGTAGAACTTGGGGTGATGGTAGTAGAGGGCAGAATTAAAGATGCATGTCAAGGAATGGTGAAAGATAAAATAATTAGTTTGGAATAGGCCATGTCACTCACTTTGAGTGAGTAGGCAAGAAGAGAAAATAGATCTCCAACACTATATCATGCAAGAATTCTTCAGGAATCCAAATGAAAATTTAAGTCAAATTTTCTTTTACTTCTAGGAAGGTATTCAAAATGAATGTTCATCAAAAGCACATAACAAGGCAATGTACTACATAAATAAACAGCAGCATAACTTTCATTTTCAAAGTTAGTCTCAAATGAATATAGTGGAGAATAATTTTTAAAACTTGAATGAGCTCCCCCCCCTCCCCGCACTCACAATTACAGTTTTCTGTGATCAGAAGAAAATGGAAATCACCTCACATTACAATGAAAATAAATCACTATTTTCAGGTTTCTGCAAGTTTGCAGTATTTATTTATGTGGAAGAAGAGTAGCAATATTGGGAGTTAAATGGGCCCTATACAAAGGAGGAGTAAGCTGCATGTGAATCCAAATAATAGTGTCATTTCCTTAACAGGTAAGGCGTTTTATTCCAGTGGTTCCTAGGTGTGAATAAGTACCAGAATCCTAGCGTTTATGAAAATTGCAAATTTCTAGGTCCTATGCCAGTCACTAGTTTAAAATGCAAACACTATGGTTTGAAAGACCCTCCATGTTCAAGCCCTCCTGGTTGTGTCTTCAAATTCATTTCATGCCACTAACAAGAAAAATATCCTGAGATGTTCTAAATTAAGATTACAGTGGCCAGAAGGCGACTACCTTGTAACTACCAATTCGTACTTCTTAATGCCTTCTCCCCTTTTACCCTGCCCTCCAAACCCCTTCCTAACTGGCAACCATCAGTTTATTCTCATATCTATGATACAGATACAGTTTATTCTGAATCTATAAGTCTGTTTCTGTTTTATTTTATTCTTTAGATTCCACATACGTATAAGTGAAATCATATGGTACAGTGTTTGTCTTTCTCTGACCTCATTGACTTAGCATAATTCCCTCTAGGTCCATCCATATTGCCACAAATGGTAAGATTTCATTCTTTTTTTTTATGGCTTAGTAATATTTCATTGTACATATGTACCACATCTTCTTTATCCAGTCATCTATCAATGAACATTTAGGTTGCTTCCATATCTTGGCTATTGTAAATAATGCTGCAATGAACATAGGGGTGCATATATCTTTTGAAACAGTGTTTTGGATTTCTCCGAACAAATACCCAGAAGTGGAATTGTGGGGTCATAAATAGTTCTGTTTTTAACTTTTTGAGGACCTTCCATACTGTTTTCCATAATGGCTGCATCAATTTGCCACAATTATCCACTTATTAACACATGAATTTTCCAGTCTGCTGCTCACAGCTAATCCATAGGAGCAGACACTTCTTCCTGGCAGACTCTGCTGAGTTTATCCCAGAACTAGCTCCGCTTCCCTTTTTCCCATCCCTTTAAGAACAGCTCACCCCCACCCCCTACTACACACACACACACACACACACACACGATGTACAACTTGCAAAATTCTGGAATAATGGGATAATGGACATGTATGTTTTTTCCACCCAGCCATGCTGCTGTGGTTTGGACTTCATGTCCCGAGACTGGTCTTCTTTTTGCACTTTTGGCTCAATAAAATCTTTCTTAAAAAAAGACTTCCATTTGTGGAAGTTAAATTTTTTGTTAACACCACATTTCCCTTTGCTCATCATGATCTAGATATACAACTTTGTGCTAAGTTTCTCAAACATGCAAAGCTCTAACTCACCTTAGAATCTCTGCATACGTTTTGTTTTCTATCTAGATTACTTTTCTCTCCCATCTTTGCATCTCTGGTTCCTTCCCAACATTCATGTTTCTGCTGAAATGTTATTCCCTCAGATGGGTATCTCTCAAAGTAGCACTCTCCTTATTATTTGCCTCATTTCCTTATGTGCCTCCTTCATAAGAGTTACAATCTCTAATTATTTTATTTATTAAATAAATGTTTCCCTCCTTAGAATATAAGCTTTAGGAGGGCAGAGTCATATCTGTCTTGTGCACTAACACTATGCCTGGTTCATAATGGTCTCTAAATAAATAACTGCTGAAGGAAGAAGTGATACTGAGAAGCCAACAGAAATGTGGCAAAGAAGTTTCAATGTATCAAGCTAGGAAACAGTCAACAGAGAAAATAAAATAAATGTGCAAAGCTCCTTACACCTACAGGTGAATACAATGAAAATATGTAATAATCTGTGTTTGATTTTATATATTTATGTCTCCTAACTTCAGTTTCCTCTGTAAAATAGGAACAATGGTAGTATCAAAGCATTATGAGATTTAAATGAAATATATAACTCTACTAGTCTAGTTGCGCCAAAAAGAACTCTCAATAACGGTTAACTAATAGTATACCCACACAAAGAGCTTTCTCCAGAGGTTCTCAACCTGTGGGTTGCGACCCCTTTGGGGGTCGAAAGACCCTTTCACAGGTGTTGCCTAAGACATAACAGTAGCAAAATTACAGTTATGAAGTAGCAATGAAAATAATTTTATGGTTGGGGGTCACCACAACATGAGGAACTGTATTAAAGGGTCGCAGCATTAGGAATGTTGAGAACCATTTAAGGCTCTTAAAATCTCTAGAACCAGAGATCTCCCACAAATGCTCCTTCTGACACTTTAACTCTTCTTCTACCATACTGTTGGCAGTTTCTGATTTCATCATGATGATGTCCTCCTCCTGCCCGTATTATCTGCCAATTACTTTACTAGAAAGCCATTCTCCTATTAACCGCCTGTTCCTTCTTGCTTTTAAACCCCAAGCTCTCTGTGAAGCTTTCCTTGGTATTGACACCTCCTCCATCCCACAGAATTTATTACGCTATTTTGCACGCTATCTCTGGACCTTAGGTAGACTAATAATGTTGCATTTATTGCAACAAACTGCAATTTTGTAACATTATAACATTTACTTTATAATTTGTTTCTTCAACTAGACTGCGAGCTCTCCTCCTTCACAATAAGAGCACGACTGGATGCTGAAGCAAGACTGCGCGCCTGGGGTTCCTTTACTTAGCAGGGATTTGACTTAGGTGACGACTCCCAACCTCCATCTGTAAAGTGGAAGCGACAACTTACATATAGTGGTTACTTAGAGTTTATGAGATTACAAAAATGATCCTTAGGGACTGGGTTATTGAAGCCCGAGAAGGAAATACGTTAGCAAAGAGCTGGCTGGGAAGGCGGGACCACGACTTCAGCTGCGAAGGCGCGTCCACTGCGCAGGTGCACCCAGGAGAGGGGGTGGGGATCTCTCCCCGAGCTGCCTGTGTAGTTCCGGGAGCCAGCTCGCGGCTGGGGCGCCCGGCCGTCGCGAAGCTGACGTCATCGCTGTGCGCTGCCACGTCTGCTCTGCTCCGCGGTAATGGAGGTTGGAGATGAGTGCTGACGGCTCTGAGGTCTGCCTCTAGCTTTAGCTCTGCCTCTGACTCTGGCACTGACGCAGGGTCTGGGTCTAGGTCTGGGTCTGGCAACTCAAAGCTTAGACATCTTTTTTCGACTCTCTGGGTTGAGCGGCCTGCGGACAAGTAGCTGGTTTGGAGTGCCTCATCGCGGGGAGGGAGTTCTCTTGCTTGGGGTCTACCCTGTAAAGCTGCCGTCGCCTCCCAGGAATCCCGCCTCACTGGCCGGGCCTCCTCCATGCGTGAGTATTATCGAGC